TGCAAAAATATCAGTTTGGTGTTAGGGTAATTGATCTCTAGGACAAGTTTCAACAAAAAAGTAAAATGCGAACAGCCACTATTTGAATTTCGCGCTATATCTCTTAGGTTCGGCTGCCAAGCACTGGAGGCGCTGAGAAAAGAGGTTCTGTCGTCAACATTGCCGTTACCGTTCTATGTGTGGCTGTTTTGTGCAAACAGTTTAGGATCATTTCGCAGTCGAAACCAGAGCAGAGGATTCATCAATCGGAAATTATTCCCAATAATCCAGAACGCTCTATATCAACTGCGCATGATCCGGACGTCCTAGAACCTGTATTTCGTAGAACCAGAACAAACCTAAAATGTTACTTGAAACAGTAACAGATTAAAACAGTTTCTCTCGTGCGTTTGAAATGAAATGATGCAATTCATTTGTAAGGAATTAGTTATCTCTCGATGATGCCAACTTTGTTCCATAGTACATTACAAATATTCAAATTACAAAAACCCTCTTGGTGATTATTCATCGCGAAAATAACTTTGTGTATCACCTGAAGTCATAGACTAGTTGGTTATGAAAAAAGAAGAAATTTTCTGTACTCACAAGATTAGTACATTACTTGCTTATTTGCGAACCAATTAGTTATTTTTTTTATTGATTCGGCCGTGACTTAATGAAGATCCATAGTGATTTCATAAACTACACCTTACGATTTCATCCCCACAAACTTTATTTGAGAAATATATCACGACATGTTTCGCTAACACAGTGTTTTGAATACTCCATTTAAATCACTGTTGAAGATGCTACTGTGTTAGCGAAACATATTTTTATATGATATATTTATCAATATAACTTGAAGTTACTTGAAAATGGCCTTATAAGCTGAAACCGGTCGTAACGAATAAATAAACACAGTAGAAACTAGACAAAAGTATTTTCTTTATTCTATATTCAACATGAATTTATCAAATAAAATTTGTGAAGATCAAATCGTAATGTGTAGTTTATGCAACAATTAGTTATTGATGCCAAATGTAGATTTGTTCAAGTGCCTCCAATAATGTATTGAGAAATGGGTTGAAATGAATCGAAAAACGATAGAAACCATAATTCAACTTGACTTTCCGAGAAAAACAGGGTCACATAATCATTAAAAGCTTATTTGACCACAGTTAAGTCGATAGATAAGTCTCTTACTTCGAGGGAAACTTTGCTTTCAAGTTTCCGTACTGTCTATGGAAGTGACTTGAGGCTAGGTATCTCCTATTTTTTTTGTTTTCACAATTAATATTTGTAAATTTTGCTGAAATGTTCTGCTCTCGTGCTGAAGTATTTATATCATACCTACTTCCTACGTTATAAAATTTCACCCACAGTTTTCACCAAAATATTACGTAAAAATAAATAGTAAATCAGCATAATCCTACTTGTTCAGATTAGGCGAAGTATATTGTTACTTTCTCTTTCTCTAACTTTATAACTTATAAAATATTCAGTTTGGAGTTGCGGAAAGCTCCCGCGTGGAAATTTAAAGATCGAGAAAAACTTTAGAAGCAACGGTGTTATTCTGAATTTAATGTTTCGTTATTGTAATGTGGTATATAACTTCGGAAAAACTTCATGTTTGCTTTTGAGGAAATTGATTCCAACCGAATTTGCGATGATTATTAAAAACTAGTGGACCAAATTACGAACGATGATGTGACATATTCAGTTGAATAGATAATAGTTTGAAAAACTAAAAAAAACACGCTTTCATAGCAACACAAACTAAAAAATAAAAAAAGATTCGAAACCAATTTAAGACTGTGTTCAACATCGATAATAAGTCCTATGGCTTGATATAACCAATGGTTTTTAATATGTCTAGAATCAGAATGAATCTATTTACAAAAAAATTAATTTTGTTGTGAAAAAGCGTGGGGTGCTACATATCCATTTTTATAAATACTTGGTTAGGAGCTGTTTGCCATATTGGCACCCCAAGCTCTTTAACAAAAAAATAAAGAGATTCATTTTGATTTCAGACTTATTCAGAGTTATCAGTTACATCATGTTGAACACAATCTTAAATTAGTCTCGAATTATTTTAATATTTTAGTTCATGTTGCTATTAAAGGGCGTTTTTTTGTTTATTCAAACTATTATTTATTTTCCACTTTTTAGTTTGGCTTGCTATTTCAAACCCATTTGTTCCAATATAAAATATATCCGCTTGTACAGACAATGACATTGTGTGAAAAAATTATTCAATCCTGGCGATCCTGATCAGGATAATGAGACTTATGAAATTATTGTCACCGATTCATGGTAAGTGAAAAAAGTTTAAAATACATATGTTCGTTCAAAGTTAGTCGAAATCGAATCCAAAGGAGTTGGTTACAAACAAACATACAAGTGAAGCTAATATAAGCGTGTTAATAAAAATCAGTCGTGATTTCCATAGAGCAGAAAAATATCTAGGTATCTGGTAGATGAATAATCTCCCTGGTTGATTGTTCGAAGAATGATGTGAATTTGAGAAAAAGAGCGAAAATTTGACATGAGGCGACATTTATTATTATCAATACATAATTCAATGAAATAACAAACACTTACACTATATCTAGATTGCCTGATCGCCTGAGGCCAATTACTTGCTGCAGCTGAAAAATGGTTTTTTGATGTCCAGCCAACTGCACTTTCGAACGGAACGTCTCCGATATGTCCCTGGAACAGAAATTGAAATATCAGCGAAAATTTGAAAGTAAATACGGAATAATTCTATATATTCCACACGCAAATTAGCACACCTTGAGAAAGAGACCAACAGAAACGATTCCTCAAAACTAGGGGTCGAAGGCCCGACGATACTCTGAAGCTTCTATTCAGTCTTCTAAAATGATGATGAATATAAGTTTCGTGAAAACTCCATCTAGATACTTTAGCGGTCCGATTTCTGTGGTAAACTGTATGATCTGATAACTCTTTAAGAAATTGTAACACCCTCACGATCCTAATGATATACTGTAGGTTCGGATGATCTGAACTCCCAAATACTCGCCAATATGTAACCATATCGGTAACATTCATGACTTCGTGTTTGTACACAAACCTCTTCCTCCAGATTTGAACCAGTATCAAAAGAGAGGGAGGCCAGTGGATGAGTTTACTATGAGTTGGATATTTTTATAGCCAAAAATTCTTGAAGGCTTAGTTCTGCCAATTGTATATAGATGTCTTTGGAATTGGAGTTGGAGGTTGAGAGGTGGAGGTGAAGAACTCTCTACGTGGCAGGTATCAATACAAACAACGAAATAGTTGGTTATTGGATCTGTCGAATGAAAACAAAGTTACTGTTACAAATGTGCTGACCGCCGTAATGTAACTCTATTTTTTCGAAGTAGCGGAGTGTAATCGGGAGGTGCATCACCAGAGCAAAACCCGAAAAATGAAGCATCTTTATAGATTATACTTTCTCCAACGGTTTGCAGGCCAGAGACTTTTGAGCCTGGAGTATCTACATATCAGAATGATACTGGTAGGAAATCATAATAAAGAAAAGAGAATTGAAACTTTCTATGTTTTTTACTACTTTTATTTTGTAACTAACGTTACTGTAGTTTCGTCCTATAACTATAAAAATAGTTTACTGTATAAGTTTGAAAATGTCTCTCTAGGACGAAACTGCAGTAACGTGAGTTAGAAATAAAAGTGGTAGAAACCATAGAAAGTTTCAATTCTCTTTTCTTCATTATGATAATGAAACATTTTTCACTCTATTAACTTCACCAAAGACGCATTCCTCTACAAAGTTGCTCTCCCAGTTCAACTGAGGAAGTAACTGTGATTTCAGATCACCTTCTCTGTGTGATTCATCATCAAGTAAAATTGAATAATGGAGCATTATTCATTAAAGTATCTGCCCGATAAAATTTTTTGACATTCGACGAGGTGACATGATTTCTGTTACTGATGAATTGAAATCCGTTCAATGAAAATCTTACATCACAGTCACAGGAACCATTCGACCTCTGCGACTATGTAAGGATGAGACAATGCATTAGGTCTTTCTCAATAATTTCGAAGACTCCAGCTCAATCAAAGGCTTGATCATGGCCTATTAAAATGGCGTCTATAAAAATGCCAGATTATTTCGAACATAACAATATTGTCAAAGTGAGAGTGCATATCGCCTTAGATCAGAGAGATATAGTGGAGGTGAAATTTCATGGATGAATCTGACTCTCCAATGACATTATTCCGAGGTTTTTTTGTCAAAAGATATGTTGGATCATGTAATAAAAATCAACCTGTAAGAATCAATGAACATGTCAAACGATAACACGATGATGAATGAATGAGTGAAATTCGTAGAAAAAAAAAACAACTCAAGATACCAACTCTTCAGAAAAAAATGTGTTATATTTCTGTGATTGAAAAGTTGCCAGTGTGCCGCTGGCCTAATGCAAAGTGAACATATTCCCAGAAAAATCACCTAAATCAATCGGTCTCTGCATTCATTATCCGAATTCAGTTTACTGAAAGAACAATTCAACGGAGTGAGTAATACGTACCAATAAAATGGAATTCATATTTCAAAGGCCACATAAATAATTTGCAACGAAATATCAACACGCGGCGATACATGCAACAGGTAAATACAGCCCGCACATTTATTGATAATAAAAATGTCACAGAATTTTAATTATCGTTACTGTTCAGTGCTACTTTTCACGTCGTTTTGGGGCTTAATATCGAATAGTAGGACTTTGTTCAGTAACCCTGTGGAACACCTATGTTGATATAAGCTAATGTAGAATTTGTTACCCTCAACTCATTGCATTGTTCATTTCTCAAACATAGAAACTGTTTGCGATTTTGTAAAAAGCTTGTAATCCATGTAAGTGCATTATCTCTTACACCATAATGGTATAGTCTCTTTATCAAAATATTATGATCCACACAGTCGAATGCCCTGCGGAGATCACAAAATATTCCAACAGGGCACTCGCCAGCATCAATATGGCGCGTTATTTCACTATAGAAGCGATGTACTGCAGATGTGGTTGACTTTCTCCGTCTGAACCCATGCTGATTTTCCGAGATTATTCCGTTAGAATCAAGAAAGTATGACAGGCAGTCTAAAAATGAGTATTCAAAAATTTTTGAAAATATAGATGGTATCGTTATTGGCCTATAGTTAAAAATTATGTCGCGATTTTCCATTTTATGGATGGGAACAACTTCACCCACTTTTATCATACTTGGAAATTTCCCTTCAGCGAAAGATAAATTAACCAGGTATGTCACAGGAGAAATAATGTGATGTAACACAGTTTTTACAATGAAAGGCGGTATTTCATCAAAACCAGAAGATTTTGAATTTTTCAAACGAGATATCAGTAATTCGTATAATTCGACATTTGTGAATGTATAGAGATTCATTTTTAGACTAATATCAACACAATCGCCTGTATCAAAATCATATTTTTTTGTTTATGTAATGTTGTTTATATGGATTTATATTCATTCGTTTATTGAAAATTATATAAATGACAGATAAAATCTACCCTCGTATTAACATGAAAGTGTCTCCACGGGTTTTCGGGATACTGGACTATTAGGTTATTTATGTAGCTACACAACATATAAATGGTGTACTAATAAATAACGAGTTCACATAATTGGTGTGTTGTAAAAACTTTTGCGGATATTTTCACCACAATCTTCCTCAGGAGACTGTGAGAACTAATCCTTCAATCGAAAGTGGGATTGAGGTAAAAAGATATCTCATTTGATCAGGTCATCGAAGACTCTTTCCAACATTTTTTATTTTTTGACGTAGAATTCCAAAAAAATGAAGTCAATATGAAGAAAATTGATTTTCATAAACTCGTAAGTGAAATTCTCATAAGGCTTCTTGTGGAAAAAGAGCACAGCTTTAAAGACTGGGCCCCACAAAGTGGGGATAATGAAAGACATTCACATTTAAAATTCAACCATTCCCTAACGTTTCACTAGAACAAGTACTTGGGGGAGTTATGTATCTGCAAGTTTGATGAATTGTTATCCTAAAGTGATTACATAAAATCGAACGGAAGAATTAGGTGTCTTTATGATATACTGACCAATAGCAAAGGTTTTTTACTATAACAGGAACTCATCCCCTCCATAACGATCACTTTATTACAGATGTCCAGTGTCTTGTAACATTTGCCAGTAAATATGTGTTATGATATTTTCTGCCACACAAATTCAACAGCCCCATTCAGAAAAACCTAAACAAACACCCATCTGAAAAATTAATTCGGGATATACAGGGTGTAACAAGTACGTTGAATTATTCAAATGACGTATTCCTGACACAATTGTAAGAAAAAAGTATATATGAACTTGTGCCAGGAAATGTTTCGTTTTGAAGATACAGTGTTTCGAAATTTGAATTTTTTTGTTCGTTTTTTAAAAATCACTTATGCAAAAAATAAGGTATCTGCACGAAATTTGGTGCCCGGGTGTTTTTTTGACGTTTACTTCTTTTCACGAAAAAACCTAATTTTCACACCTTTTCCAAATAAAAAAGGCACACTTCCTGAACAACGCTGGAGGAGATCGTTTTTGAGATATTTATAATTGTTTATATCGATGCATATTACTTAGCTCCTAGACGCTAAGTGAAGTTGCTAAGAACATTACAAAATCTGAGTATGTGGAAGATCCCTTTTCAACAATTTGTATCTCGAAAACGAATTAATTTTCGAAAAGTTGTTTTTTTTGACGAAATCCACCACATAGGTAATTCGATTTTTTAATGTTCTCAGCAACTACACTTAGCGCCCTAGAAGTTGAGTAATATACATCGATATAAAAAATTATAAATATTTATCTGGAAAACGATCACCGTTGTCGAAAAAGTGTCCTTTTTTATAATTGTAAAAGGTGTGGGAATCAGGTTTTTTCATGAAAAGTACGAAAAGTTCACTGTCAACATGAAAATCAATACGAAATTATGATTTACTATTTCAAAAGAAAACCGGGTACTAAATTTCGTTCAACAACTTTTTTTGCAAAAGTTAGGATCAATATTGCTCTGGCTCCAAACTAACTTCTATGGCTTTGTTTCTCACTATTTCATTTGGATTGTTCCTTTTTTCATTTGGTACCGATCCTCTGTTCCTAAATTCAGTTAGGGGTTCAGTAATGTATTTTCGGTCAATAGGCTGCAATGAACATAAGTAATTCGATGATTAGAATTTGGTGTGAATTGAATCTATCTTAATCACTTCTCCCTCACCAGAACAAAAATGTTGTCTCCCGACGCGTGTTTCGCCAACCAAGTTAGCATCTTCAATAGAAACAACTGCAATATTAGCACAACTACCGTTACCATTAGTATTATATAAATTGTATATTATTATTTAATATGAACAACTCACTTTGCATAAATAAGTTCTAGTTGAGTATTTTCAATGAATTCTTCTCATAAAGTACTCTTTTTGATGCCGAAACAAGTTTTTCAACACTTATTGGCCCATACAGCTACTATATTTCAGAAGTTTATTCGATATTTCCTCTTTAAATAAAGCTTATTATATTTCAGACTTCATGATCCTGAAACGTCTATACATTCATAAAATGTTAATTAGTCTTCAGAATTAGTTCTATCTCTCATATCTCTCTCCTATAGTTCAATAAATAATAATGATGAATTAGTGATTTCCAATGTTCAG